TATAAGTAAAAAATTATTCAAACAATAATTATTAAGATATAAATCGCAAATTTACTTATTGCATTATAATGTCATGTATTTTTTATTAACCTAGTGACAGAGAACGTTACGTGGGATGAAAAAAAAGGACGTTAAACTGTCAAAAGATAAAAAATTATATTAAATGAATCAATGTTTTGATTATGATTAAAATATTTTTTTTCTTAAATTTAATTATTTAATAAAATTATATATCATTAATATTAAATTCTTTAAATGTGTTATGATATTCTCTATATTATTGTGTTTTAGTTAAAAATTGTATAATATATATAGTGAAATTTTATTAATGGTTATTCTATACTAAATACACTATTTATATCTAACTTCTAAATCACTTAGAAGTATACAATTATCAAATAAATCTATAAATAAAAACAAGAAAATTACAAGAAAAAAAAATTAAAAATATTGTTAAATCTTTTCCATTTGGCGTTAATCATTATTTTCCTTTAAAAATATGCTGAATAACGTATATATCAATCTATCTGTTGAAATTGTGAAATTAATTTATCCAAATATACCACTTACTAGAATGCGTAATAATGTATTTGTCAGTTAAATGGTAGACGAATTTAGCACATTACCTATTCGAATGAATTTATATTGAACCGTAATCGAACATTGACAGCGATGATCTTTATCTGTTGTAAAATACTAATTTGGACACGTATTTTATAAGTACGTAATTACATAGATAGGTACCGACAACAGTTCCCTGTGCAATGCCGTGGCGTCACGTCGGTCACCTCTAATAATTTAAGCAGTAATAGGTTGGTAAATTCAACCAGAAAATATCAGAAGTAGCGTACTTTAACATTTTTTTTTTTTTTTTTTTGAGAGAAAGATTTAAAATTACTCAAACTTGCCATATTTTGTATAATTTTGTGGAGGGAGAATCACTTTTCCACGACACTATCATTAAAATTATCTAGATTTTTGTATGGTTCCTTTTTCTATTGATGATTTTTTTTTTTTTTAAGTTATAATTTGAGTAGGTAATGTAATTTTAAAATATTGCTTGAGATTTCTTGTTTAATATACAATGAAAATTTTTGTATTTATAATACACAATATTATTACTATTACCTATTTAATGTCTACTATATTTAGTTAATAACAAATATTTAATTTTAATAAGTTATTTGCAATTTCTTATGATAGACTCTTAAAGCTCATCGATTATAATCACATATATGTTTATTATAATGTTCATGTCATGTATATTATATTATGTACATTTTAGCGTAAATTCTATTTTTATTTTTTACTTCGAAGGTGATGGTTTTTATTAACGTCTACCTTCCCAAATTTACTCGGTATACTGCACCAAACGTTTCATTGCTGCAGGTAATACGTCCAGTTATAAGTGGTCTTATCGCATCATAATATTAAGGTATTTTAGTAAGTTGCTGCGGTTTATTAAGGGATAACTGCAGCAAACAGAAATATTATATGATTGATTATATTATTATTATAATACACCATGTAACTATATATCTGCAAAGAAACACGTCCTCGACCCTCATATTTTCCAAGAGTTTGCACTTCGGTGTATAAATACATAATAGTATTATTGTGTTCACTGGGAATTCGTAGGTATACAAAATCCCTACGTCGCATTTATGAAGATCTTATAAGATTATTGATAGCTTGGGTTGTTTGTCTGTAAAAAAACACTTTTACAATAATGTTTCGTTATCAATTTATTGTCTAAGATGTTTATTTTTGGTTATTATTCACTTTCAGGTTTCAAAATATAATTTCATAATCAAACGGTCAATTAAAAATTAATATTTTTCAGTGAATTAATTATAAACAAATTAATGTCAATTTACTGTAAAGTTAATCGAGTTAACACCCAGGTATTTTCCATCTTATCATATTAAAATCAAACAAAAGTCATTTATGGTTATTAAATTTTATTAGTTGAAGATTAATAACTGATTACTGATAAATGACACATACGTCAAATCAATCAGCACGTATCATTGTAATAGTATACTATATATCGATTTGTCTAATTTAAATGTGTGCACTCAATACAATATAGAAAACTACTTAATATTACTTAGTAAAGAATTTTGAATTTGCTTTTATAGTTTAAGGAAATTTAAATAAATTTTCACGGGACCCAATAAGCTACTTATGAAACCTGATTGTCTTAAAATACAATCATATTATAATATTATATAAATGTATATGATATTATAATATTGAATCAGTGTAACATCTTGTGAGTTATAATATGTTAACTACAACTATGTATGCATATTGTCACTCTTTAAATCCTCTTCACATTAATCAAATTCACGAATATATTAAACTTTTTTTAAATCACGAAGTTAACGTCCATCTATTCCTATTTTAAAATTATTTTAATGAAATTCCTTTAGCCTCTTCAATCTTCATATTGTGAAATTTGTTGATATACTCGATAGAAAACAGCATTTCTGGTTCAATACATTTAAATGAAAAATATCTCGAATTCGAGAAGAATAATAAAATGGAAAGTAATTCAATCTTTTTAATGTCGGTATTCAATATTAAAAAAGCATGTATATCGACTTGATTTATATTATTACAAATAAGTAAAAGCTAATCTTTTTTTTTTTTTTTTTACCAACATTACGTATTTATAACAACTTTATCTCTATAATCTGGTTGAATTTCTACATTAATTATACGATATCAATATTAATAACTTAAATTTTAGTAATTTAAAATTAAATTTTGAAACGTATATAAATAATATCAAGTTAATTTTTCAATCCTGTAAGGTTTCCATATCTATTATCTACTCAATCAATAATACAATCATATAAGAGCAAAATATATCAAATTATTATTATTTTTCTATAAATGTATGTAAGCGACAATACACATTTTTATATAAATATACAATACAATATAACGTTATACACATATTATACCTAACACTTTGAAGTGTGTTTATCCAAATAGGTTTTGCGTCTAAACTAATTTTACTAACGCACGTTGTTTGTAATAAAAACAAAAAATGTCATTGAAAGCATGGACCACGTGCGTATCTATAATAATAAACTGTGTGTATTTAGGTAGTTGAAAATTACTGTAACTTGATACTTATACAGTTTGTGAGCTTCTAAAGTTTCGAACGGGATAATAAGAAGAACGCACGCATTCAAAGGATAACAGTGTATCATTTATCATAACATAATACCACCGTTATTTTAATTTTTCAAATGGATTTTGTGTGATTGTAGTTGTACATAATTCATTTTCGGTACTTATATATAATCTATCATTATTATAGACTTGAGATGGCAGTTATTGTGAAATAAAACTGCTGAATCGGCAACGAAAACAACAATAATAATAGTAATAATTACACATTAAACGACAAACGCATATGTTTCGGGATTAGGATCGCGTGGATAGCGATTACAATCGTCCCCGAGGAAACGAAATTTAAAACCATCGACTATAATATATTATATTAAATATATAAATTGTGTATACTACATAAGTAATAATGTATAAACTCACGGGGTGGCGGACAGTGTAACGGTTGCAGAACAACCGCGTGCATATTTGTTTCGTTTTTATGTGCTTGCGAGACTCACAGTTATATATAATATGCATATAGGATATATTATATATATATATATAGATAAAAAGAGAGAGAAGAGTGAATGGAGCAAAGTTTTAGCAGAAAACTTTATTTTCCGGTATTTCTACGAAATATTATTATTATTAAAGTTTCTACCGCACACATGTATGAAAATCACACTCACAAGTTCGTCTATACGATATTGGGCGTGGAAGTGGTGAAGGGAAAACATGTACCAAAAACCTGCCTAATAGAAAATTTTCCTCGTGACGAGACGACGTATAACAATATAACAACCAACAATATGTTTCTCTGTGGCTGCAACGACGACGACGAGAACGACGATTATGAATATGTTACGCCAGCCGCAATAAATCAATCTTAATTATTGTGCTTCAAGACTTTTTGCTTCGTTAATCTTGAGTATATATTATTACTATAAAGGTATCATGTATAGAGAACGGCTGTATGCGCGTTTTCTAATTAACCGGAGCCTTTGCTCCTCATCCGCACTCGGCATTTGCTCCATGGACACGTAATTGCAGGTCAGTGTGCAGCGCGTGCGGATAGCAAGCCGTCCGTTATATTATTACATAACCTGCGCGAGTATTACGTGTCGCCTTTGTTCAGGGACAAAGGATTGCTTGTAAAAATAAGTGCGTTTCATACATATATATTATTATATATTATGAACCTTGAAGCTCCTGTTTGCCGCCCCAGTGGTAGGCCTTTTGATATATGGCGCATATAACGCGAGTAAACGGGCAAACGAGAAATTACTTAAGTATTCTTTATTCGCTTAATTTTTTTTCGCCATCGTTAATCCTTAGCCTTCTTCGCTTAGGTAGGCATTTTCTGTAGTTACACTGAATAATGACGTATTTCACGAACGAGCTCATATTATTATTATTATTATTATACACGATGGAAAATCATTATGAAAAATACCAGGGAATTTAATTATTTAAATAACAGAAAACGTATTGCATGTGCCACGTGAGAGCAGGCTTAATTACACTTTTGTTAAATGCTGAAAATTGTTATTTTAAAATATTCATTAATATTCCCCATTGCAATAAAACTACGTTTTAAAAATAAAAAAAAAACCTAGTATTATTAGCATTATTATGACTATGGTGTAACAAGTCAAAACTAATAGTTTTAATCAGATAATAAGTTTTGTCTGTTTGAGATTTTAAATTCAATATAAATGACGTATAATATTGCCAACTAAAAAATAAATTTTATTTAATATAATGACTATTACTATTTAACCAAAAAATATATTATGTATGATAATAAAACAATTTTAATTGTGTTATATATCAATATTTTTAAATTTAATAGTAAAATTATTTTTGTTTCTCAGTTATGCCTTACGTCTAATGTAAGCACAGCTGACTTCAACATGGGCTACAGTATTACCGGTTCGTTGGAGTGTGGATCAACAAAAAACAACAGTTTTCAAACAACACATTTTGCCGTTATTCGGAGAAGAGATTTTGATACAAATCGACCTTAACAATAAAAATGTAATATAAAAAACTAAAAAAAGGATTATTCCGACCATAAACGTGCATATAAGACTATTCACTAATTTATGTATTTTCAATCCTAAATAATTAAGAAGATAATAATACGTTAAATGTATACAATAGGCATAAAAACTTACTTTGGAGGGTAGTTGTGTTCATTTATATCTTAAATGTACTTACGTTAAGGTTTTCGTAGCAGAAAATATGATTTTTTTCATTATAATGATATATAGGTATTGGTATGACAATATTTTTTGTAGATAAACACAAAATTAATATTCACTGCCAATTTTTAACACATAATTTTTTTTAATTATACACCGTGTAAATATAATATTTATTAAAATCAGTACAATCAGATAAATGCATAGGTTGGTTAACACAGCCGCTTCAAATAAAAACTTAGTAGGTATACACAAGTCGTTCGTGGTGCTCATTAAATACAAAAATAAAACTAAATTTGATTACTTCAACGAAATAATTTGAAATAATTTAATCTTCATATTCGATTGTTGAACGTAATAATTAAATGTAGTATTATATACTATAGTTAGTTATGAATGTACGTCGAGTAACAATCAAATTAAATTTTATTATGAAAAATGAGTATAAGTAGTTAAAAATATTATATCGTAATATGTGCTATCTTTGCTTATTTCATAATTAGTATTTTTCTATTGTTATTAATAAAAATAAAATAGTATTAAATAATATTATTTTGGATAGTTTAAATTAACACAATAATTTAACAATGTACTCTAATAAAATATATGTTATATAAAATACGTAAGTACAGATTCAAACAATTTTGTAATAAATTGTATAATAACATTAATTCGTTTTTAAATATTCTTCAACAATTGAAACCATAATATTATAGTTTAAATAGCCTGTGAATTGTAAAATTATACTATGTTAATTTACACGTAATTATAGTTATAATATAGGTGTATACAATTTATATATTTTAAGAGTAATATAAGTAAGTACCTACAACTATAATTTTAAGTTTAGTATATTTATTATTATTATTTTTAAGTAGACAATTTTATTTAGTTTTTATTATTAAGATACTCAAAAGTCAAATTGTATGCATTTGTTTTTAAAAACAATAACAATGGCTTTCATGTTGTTATCCACATTTTGAATACAGATTCGTCACCCTATAGATCTATTTCCAATGAACATTTGAAAATAACATAAAAGTAGGGTGAAGTTTCAGGAAAAAGTTTTAAAAAAATGCAGAACATAAAACTTTCTGTTTCAGATTTTCAGTTAAAGTTTTAAGAATTCGCATGAGCTGTAATGTAAATTTCTAGTATTTTATATACTTTTCATTGCAATCCCAACAATAATCCGTACGTGAGTTGGTTTTATTACTCAAACGTGATTCAGATATATTTGATCGGATATAATGTATGCGCTCAAAATATCTTAAATTTCTAAAAAGTTTAACAAGTAATTATTTTAATGCTATTCCATTTTGTACAACCAATATTATACTATTAGGATCAACATTATAATAACGAGTAATTAATAAATATAGTGTAAGATTTATAAATCAGGAAATAATTATTTCATTATAACAATTAATTTTAAATTAAAAATACTATTTATTATTCATGATTGATTTGTTTAAAAAAAAAAAAATATAGTTTTAATAATATACATTAATCGGTGTTTTACGGCCATAAAATCAGATAACCCGTCCATAAAAATTTTGATGTCACTATCCAATAAACATCTGACTATACACTTAAGATATTATTGTTCTGATGTTTTTTTTTTTTTTTTTAATATTTGCCTACTGTTTTGGTTAAATCTTTTTGTCCTAAAAATTTAGATTAATGTACACACTATAATTAAGTATTTTGATATAAAATGATAAAATTGAATAGAACTGTATAATATAATTAATTAATGTATAAGATTGTAAAATATGCTTTTATAGAACTGTTTATTTGTGACTTAAACTTAGGCGTAAAAATATATGTATTTATTGTGTATTTGCTTTAATTTTAACACACACTTGTGATATTGAAAACAACGTAAATAAACGTTTATCAATTTGCTATATTAATTTTTCTTTTATTTTCTTTGTATTATAATTTTATTCACCATTATCACTCTTAGTACTAATTCCTTAAACTTTAAACATAAAATTTAAAACAAATTTTCACAATTTTTAAAGGTGGAATATTAATTATACATTATACACTATAGGTAAACTGTAACTTATAATTATCTTAAAAAGTAAATATAATTTAAATTCAATATAATAATTATCAATAAAAAAAAAATCAATTTGTTTGCAATGTAATTTTGTTTTTATTAATTTTAATGCTTATCATAATTACATTGAATTTTATTATATTATAACATTATAAAATCATAACTATAAATAATTAAAAATGTAACATGCATAGTGTGTCTAAAGTGGATGAAGTTAAATGTGATATTACATTTTTTAAATTATTTATTTGTTAATAATATCATATAATATTACATTATTGCAAATTAAAATTTAAAATTGAATAACATTAACTCAAATCAATTTTCTGAAATTTTTTGAGATTTGAAAAACAAAAATTATGTGGAGAAACAGGTTAAATTTCATTTCTAGTCAGATGTTGAACATTTGTTGAATATTTTTAGCACTACCAAATCAATTTTTAAATGTAAAGATTTATCATTGGTTTCAAAAATAAAGACATAACTTGCTTTTGTAGCTAACCTAACCTTGAATATACACTTTTGTTAAGCATAATATCATATAATGGTTGAAGTTGAAAAACTTTTCAAGTAAAAAAAAATTATTAAATATCGTTGTCAAAGTTATTAGCTTATAGAACTGTAAGTCGAATACTTAACGTGCGTCTAGATTTTGTTTTATTGGTAAGTTACTCTAGACTTTTCATAAGAATATAAAGAAAAATCAATTCATGATTTGTATCGTTCAAAAGTGTTTCTAAAAATGATTAATATTAAGTCAGGTATTGCATATAATTTACGATTCTAATGTATGCATTAACATTTAACATTGATATTGTTATTTATTTCTGTAGAAAAATGATATTCTCAAGACTACATAAACCGAATTCGTCCCTATTAAGGTACACTGTTTTGGTGTTTATAGTTAAAACTCGTTTATCAGATAGGTATACTAACCTATTTAAATCGATCAACAATTTAACTACACACGTGTACGTTATGAAAATAAGATAATTATTAAAACGACAACTGAATTGTATGCGATATGTTGTTTACCTGTGAACATTTTCCTCTGTTCATATTAATATGATAAAAATTATTCGATTCAAACAATTTTTTGCAAAATATTTTAACCCATTATCGAATGAATTCAATACGAGTGTTGTATGTAGCAAAATGTCTTTTGTTGTATATCGATAAATTCTTGGCGGCGGTCCATTTAACAACATAATAATTTAATCCACCATCTGGCCGCCCGTATTGACATTTGTAAAAGGAACACTGCACATGTACCTTTGCATACGCTTATTCTAAATATGCTACCTCGGTACACACGTCTATTTATTATATACGACGGACGGTTCACACCTATTTACACGGAAATTTAGTGAATAGAGGTGCTTACCAAAAAAAAAAAAAAACGTGCACATTTCCTAATCTGCCGTGTCTGCAGTTGTGGGCAGAGAAAAATATATTGTACGATCTACATTAGATACTACAGGGATGTAGTACCAATCACGTACACACAAAGGGGTTTCGCATAAAACATCGTTAACTCGTTCCTTCAAAACGAATGCATATTATATATTTTTTATTTTGTTTAGCATGACTTATAATATACGACTCAACCGTTTCGCAGTCACGTACCTGCTACCTATATCTACACACATATAACAATAATTCACATAATTATTAATACGTGTTTGTGCGATATTGCTACGAGGGGTTGGCGTTGAATTATGCAACACACATTGATACAGGAAATTAGTGTTGAATGCAAAATATGCGGTTTCTGGTTTGCTGCACGAAAATTGGCAACTGTCATACATATATAATATTATAATAATATATACATTGTACATACTGTACAATTCGAAAAAATTATGATTTTGTGAGACAGCATAGTTTATTATATATATATATATATATATAATAGATGGGTGTGTATATTTTAAACAGACTATATCATAATTTATTATTACATAGTTGTATAATATTGAATTCGATAACTATAGATACAGAGTGATTCGTCAATCATTCTCATCCTCATTTTCTTCCAATCATCAAATTATTTAAATTATGATTTTCGGGATTTTTATTTAGTTAAATTAGGTATTTAAAAACTTATATTTCCAAATATAGATTTACATTTTTCATATCGTTTAAGAAGTGTATATAGTAACGGAATATTCTTTTTTTTCAATTGAGAACTACTTTATATTATTGTGGGTGATTAAGCAAATATATTTTTTTTTAATTATCGATATATATAAAATAAACTCAAATACATATTATAAAACTTTCTTTTTTAAGGATTATTTCTATTATAATAAGTTTAAAGATACAATGACTATAATGATTGGTCATTCGAGGTTGAGAAGATTTCTGGGTACTTTATATTATAAGCATGAGAGAATTCTTTATTATGAGTGTAATTTGGAACGCGATTTTTAGTACCTATTTATTTTGTATTTTTGTGACTAATTATTAGCCATTAATTGGTTTACTGATTAGATTTTTAAATTATCAAGTGTACGGTTCAAAACATACCATAGAATAATACAAAGAGCTATAATTTGGAAGACTTGCATAATTTATAGTCCCAAATTAGTTAAAATATGGATTTGTATAATTATAGTGAATTTTGTATGGAATGCAAATTCAATTTAAGAGTTGGTTAAAGTAGATATGCAGAGTCTGCTGTAGAGAATTTTCTGTTTAAATTGTAGAATATACAATGTATTCTAAATAAGACGTCTGTTGTATGAAATACAACGATGTTAAATTTTTAACAATATTGGAATTGGTATTCTTAAAATGTTAGTAGGGTAGACTATTTTAGAGTAAATTAAATGCATATTGATTTATTGTGTTCATTTATTAATAAACAGAAGTTTCATTTTTATGAGTTTCAAAAGAGTTTTTTATGGTCACTTTCGTCACATATGGTCTACATAAGTGGACATAATAGTATTTGTTATACATTTAATTGGTCAGAAGAAATGTTTTAGGGTAATTATTCAAAATTAATTCAATTTTAATAATAAAAACCATGAATGTATATTCTTTAGTTACAATCGTAAAAATAATGTAAATTGAATAAATGGTAATGTAAAATTTAATTATAATTGTTTTACATACAGATTGGCCATTATTAAATATTACTTATTACTGATGCACAACAGGTACCATTCGGTTTAAATATAGTCCATTTCTGTTAATAATTAAATTAAATTATTCAATAAATAAGTTTTCATGATAACATGTTTATAAATTATGCACAATAAAATACATGGAATTCAAGGTAAATAATAAATTGGCTTTTTATCCATTTGAATTTGTAAATTAAATTCACAATATTGTTTTTAAATTAACACACGTTTGTTCCGGTGGTGTATTTACGGGGGATAATTTATTGTATATGCCCCCCAAAAAATTAAGAAAAAATAAAAAATAAAATAAAAATAAGTTTGTAAATACGACACTGGTTTGTTTAATAACGTTTATCGAATAAAACGTTATATATTAGTGCATAATATAATATTAGTTTACAATACTTATATAAATATAATATAAATAAATAAAGTAAGATTGAGACTTGTTTCATGAAATATATAATAATATATCACATATCTATAGCCTATCTACATCTAATGTTAAGTCAATGATAACAAGAAAATAACGAAAGACGATGAATTAAAATTCCTAATATTTAAAAATAAAATCTAGAGGAAAATACTTACCATACACTGAATCCGGAATCGGGATGTAATAAAAAATAGAAAAAATAAAACATCAAAAGAATTTTTAATATAAACATATAATAAAATCTGACGTTTAAATACTGAAGTAGCTGCTTTATCTACATTAACACCCAAAAGATAAGTTAATAGATAACTTATACACATAATATAAGGTTCTAATCAATAAATAGTGAAAAGATGCCAAGATGTAGGATTTACTAACGATCGTTTGATTGAGTTAACAAAGATTTACAAATCCTGAAAATAACAAAAATTGAAGATGTAGATGATTGAAAACGCTGAAGATATGTGGTGGAAATATCTCTATTACTTGTAAGCATAAAAAAATAAAATAAATATTATAACAGTTTGTTGTTAAAAAAGAATTTAAGTTAATATTCACATAAATACTTTTTTGAGTTTTTATATTTACAATTATTACTTTATAAATAAATTATTTAATTAAAATAACACTAAACAGGATATACAGGATTTTATACAGAATTATTTTTTATTTTATATTTGTGTCTTTTTATCTCGATAAACTTATAAACTTTTTTCAGGACGTTTTTTGTTATATTATTGATATGTATTTACTCGTATCTACAATATACATTTTACATATTATACTCATAGTTTATTTTTATTTTTGAAAAAAATTAATTGGTTAACAAAAATATTATGCTATCATCTAAATAATAACTATGAGAAACGATATCTGTAAAAATACGTAGGTTATATTTCATAACTTTGTGTAGAGCAGTTATTACAATCCAATCAGAAACTTAATTAATAAAAATAAATGTGATTTTTAAATCGTTCATTTTTATATTTTCATTTAATTAGTATTGTTACAATAATCGTTAACGTAATTTAAAATATTCTAATAGACTTATAATATATTAAAACATTAAATTATAATTAAAATGCCTTAGGGCTTAGAAATAGTACGTATATTTACTACTAACTTTAAAATTGAATTTCCATTTAAAAATATTAACAAAATAGGAAGTAACCTTAGTAGATACAGTTTTATTTTTTTAAATATGGTCATCTTATACTAAACTTAATCAACTTAAAGCAGTAAAATGAATATTTGTGCAATCAAAATTGACAGAATAAGCTAAAATATTTTTAAAAAAATCGAGTGTAGTTTGTTAATGATTAAGTTATTATAATGATATAAATATAATAATATAAATGTAATTCTTTTGATTTCAATTATAAATTATTTCGTACAAAAAGTCATTTTAAACGGAGACGGTCTGTCAGCCTAATTACTATGTATATTTAATGATTTAAATAAATTGCTATTAAAGTAGTTTATTTCAAAATGTAAACTTTAAATGCCTAAAACAAAATCTGAAATTTTGTATTTTCAAGATTTGTATGGGCTTCAGTAAAAATCATTTTTGAGGAAACATGTATTAAATTTCTTAACCTTAGCTAGAAAAGTTATATATTTTTTGAAAATATTATGTTCCTGCGGTTATTCATTTTTAGATTATAAAAAAAAAAATTACATAATTAAACGTTAGATAGGTACTTAATTGAAAAATTAAAATATTCAAAACTTCATTGGAAATTTAAAATATACGAATACAATAAATTAGAAAATATTAAGTATTTCAGTTTGGATTCAGTAATTTTTCAAACTTCTATAAAATTTTAAATTGTAAAATTATTTTTTTTTGTTTTGATTGGCTCCTCACATATAATATTTTTACTATACTTAATGTTCGATATATTTCTAAGAGGTAGTAAGGTGGTTGATCAGGAGTATTTATTAACAAAAATAATTTTGTAAGAAAAAACTCTCAATAGGTTCCTAAAATTTTCAAATTTTTATGAATATTTTATTGTCTGAAAAAAAAATAATAGATTTTCAGCCTATATAAAATTATAATTGTCTATTTTATTTTAAATTTATAATAGTATAAAATAATAAATATTATTAAAATTTTTTTTTTTAAAGATACATTTTAAGATATTTAATTAAAATTTGTAACACAACGTTTAATTCGGGCTGTAGAACATTTCCTTAAAAAAAAAAAAAAATTAAATTTGAATGATTTTACTAGATAGTGTTATTATTTCATTAGAAACATAACATAATCTAACCTATACATTATAGATTTGCAGGATAGGACTATTTACTATAATTTCTGTACTTCTGTGACGATATTGTTTAATATTTTATTTTTATTTTTATTTTTTTTTGTTTAGATAATAACTCATTATCTTAAATTTGAAAGAAATTATTATTATATAATATTATCTAAAAGAAAAAAAATGTCATTTAATATTCAAATATAGTTATTTATATACTAGTTATTTTAAAATATGTATTTAAATTTTTATGCAATATAATAAAATATTATTTCAATGGTTTTCATTATAAAAACGTATTATAAGGACATTATGATTTCTTGTCACGCGCCTTACTTAATTTTTGCTTTTCATTATTCTTTAATAATAAACGAGTTTCTTTATAATTCGACCTTTTTTATCATAATAAACCTTATCTTTTGTTTAAATCACCAAAACTCCAAATACATTACTTTTATGATTTTTACTTAATTATTTAATTATTTAATGTGTCACACTTTAATTTATACAATTAGTTATAAATTTTAAAACCGAACTATTAACATTGTTGTATACTTACAATAGTTATTAGTTCGTTTTTGTTTTTTTGTTCACAAATATTATCCTTGGTCTTATATTAATATATTAAATACGTTATATCTTTCTATATTAAAACTACTACTCAATGTTTAGTGAAACATTAAATACCTATTTATTTCTAAATCATTAAAAAGTAATAGAAGGTTACTGCTTTAATGTTCACGAAAATCATAGTAAATATATTATATTATGTTAATGTAGAATTTATTAAATTTTTTTGTCCTATGCACACAACTATTATTTACAATATATTATTAATTCTGATTTAAAAGTAATAAACGTAATAATAAGTGTAACATTATAAGAAACTACAGTTTTGTTGTGTTCAAAATATTCTTTTAGGATTTTATATTCAACAAAAATATATGCACAAATACATTCAATAAAAAATAAGTACAATACATTTGTTATGGGACCAGGATATCAGTTAGATGAGTTACAAAAATGGTTCTGATTTCATAAGAATCTTATTAATTATTACCAATGTATTCACGTGTGGAAATGCATCTGTATTTAACTGCAGACAGTATTTTACATAAAAATATTTCCGAAAGTCCAGTACAAAATTTTGAATATCCTATTCCAATATTTTTTACTATTGTAAAAATAAACTAAAATAATTACATTTTAGCTTCAACCTAGATACATATTAGATATGAAATTAAGTATTCTATTAAATTAAAAATCAAATTAACCGTTTTAGTGTTGTTGTGGTTGCGTATATAATTTTAATATAGTATATAACAGTAATTCATTGTAAATATTTGAAAGACATTTTTGGATGCTTTTGATTATTTACCGTACCTACTACAAATGTGGCATTCCGTGGACAATTATTGTTGTGTTAAAACCATCTGCAAAAACATCGAAAAATTCATAAATGTAATCCTTTTAAAATATTTACAAAGCATTTAACTCTGATGTTTTGGGAACGTGCTTATATTTTAACAGTTCTCTTCGGCGGCCGGTCCATTCAAGATGTTGTTCGTCGAGAAATATGATTGAAAAAGAAGTGAGGTGGGGGAAAGAATCAAAACAAAACAAATACGTTAAACACGTTTTTCCGTTTATTGACGTGTCTTTCTACGAATATTATTCTAATGGCCGAAATGTGGACCCGTTTTCCTTTGATACGTTCCGGTCCATATTTAATTGTCGATACCGCTCGGTAGTGTGCGCGAGTGGATGAAATGAAGGGGGAGAAAAAAAGGTTCACCGCTCGACACGCTTACGCAAACGACATATACGAGTATTAGAGGTTTCGGACAGGTACTATATTATAATAATAATAATGGTCTCTCTGCGTACGTAGGTCAGGTATACACCCATCATCATCTACCTGGAGACAACGAAGACCAAAGTGGCTCCAGTCGCGTCTGATCCCTTGGAAGTGTCACACACGGGTCGTCGAAAGAACACATTGCCGTCTACTTATTCTCGTGTATTTCTCCCCATCAACCGATAGTGTCTATCCCGGCCATGTGTCGTATGTACGCGATGATTGTTGTAACGCTGCTTGCCGTACAGTACTATTGCTGTGCGGCGGAAGGCGTGGGCGATACGCTGATGAAAATGTTCCGCATACAAACGATCGAAAACCACACCGATGTTCAGATACCCAGCTATATGTACGAGTTATACGAAGATACCGGAAACAGGCAATACGACGTGATAAGGAGCATCTCTCCGACGACGGGTAAAACATTACATTGAATATCTTATTATTATAAAGAGTAAAGGTATAAACTATACATAGCAACACTATTTTGGTAAATATTGCATCAATTCAAAACGGAAATACTGCATTCGATTACGTTGTATATAACAAATTCTGCATAATATGATTTTATATTTTTGTTTTCTGTGTTTTATAATAGTTTTAAACTAAGTTTTTAAATAAGAGTACCTATGGGTAAATAATAATAAAATATATATAGTTCAATTAATTAATAATTGCGTTATCGTATGTAATGTTGCGTGCTAATCATATAATATTTACCACGTAAATTTTTCATGAAAATATTCAATTTATATTCAAATATTGATAGGAGGGCTAATTTACAGTTTTTCATTTATTTTTAATAAGAATTCTACTTAAATTAAATATCTTAAGAATTTTAAGTTACAAGTAACAATGATTGTTAGTGAAATAATTGATAAGACATTTTACAATGATTTAATTTGCAGTTAATTGAAAAAATGAAGTACTGTTTTTTATGGATTATTTAGATTAGCTGATTTTGTATCAAACAACATAAGTTATAAAAGAATAAGTAGTGGTTATGAGTAATCTTATATTTGTATTACCTAGTTATTTAAATCAATAATGTGTATCAAATATCTATTAGTATAGATATTAGATTATGTTATAATATACAAGTACTAATTACTTCACTAAGGTGACTTCCAAGTTCTAAAATAAAAAACCATTTAACAATGTGATATCAACTATAATAGATTTAATTGAATTCTTAAACAACGATTTCATAGTTAAATATAATTTAAGTTGTAGTTTTCATATTAAAATGTTTAACTATATACAACTTTGATTTTGCATAACTATCCAAAAATACATAAGCCGATAAAAAAAAAAATACAAATTGTCTAACGAATAATAAACAAATATTTAACTATGTTTCAAATTAATTTAATAATCTAACCTACTTATACTAACTTATTTATTCAATTTCGTAATATATTTTTTTCTTTTATTTCTAATATACATTATTTTAAGTTTAAATTTATTATCAAAAAATGTAATAAAAACAATGATATTGTAATAAACAATTTTCATTTTCCTACTGTAAAAATGGTTAAGTTATAGGCTAACGTATATTTTTTGATATTTTATAATGATAATTATTAGAATATCATTTAAATAATTAGGAGACAGGGACTTATAGTTCGGAAACTTTTCTAGAAATTTCAGAAAATGCTTTTAAAAATGATTTAAGTATACTGTGAATGTATTACGTAAGATCTATAATCATGTATTAGAATTTTAATTTATGTGAAAGTTACTGCAAAAGTCTAAGTCGTTATATACCAACGACATAAGTTAGCAAACTTATAAGGGATCCTAGTTAAGCCTCTCTATATGGCTATAAAACAAATTATCAGCCCTCTCCTCAAAATTAAATCTTGGTTTGCCACTGCATTAAATATATTGAATAGTATTAAAGAAAATATAATTCAATTTTATTGTATTATACTTTATATCCCCGGTTTTTTTTTCAAACGCTTATAAGCAGTTATATTATTTACCATAGTTTTTATTAGGCTATCTATTATAGAGTAAAACAAAAAGTTTAATTGATAAAATACATAAATAAATAATTTAATAGAGCGCTAAAATTTATTAATGAAGATATTTCAAAATTATAGTGAAAATAGTAGATAGTAATTAAAAATAATGGCATATAGTAATATATATGATGTATATATATTACATAAATGTACTTAATATATATATATATATATATATAACTTGTATAAGGTATTGAATAAAATCAATAATACATTTAAGAGACAACTATAATAAGAAAATATTTATTTTATTATTATTTTTATATCCATGGTACGTTTTGATGCAGATAATATCAGAATAAAATTGCAAGATATTAAATTAATATTTATGGGATAACAAAAGATATTTTGATGTATGTATAAAAATATCTGACAAATAATAATTCATATAATAAATTGGAGAAAAAAGGAAATTTGTTTATCAAGCAAATATTTGATTCACCATATTAATATTATAACGTAGTTTAAAATTTAAAGATATTAAAAAAAAAATAAAGTTTCCAAGTATATTAAGTAAATATAATCAATGTTTAAATGAATATAATGTTATATAAATACACTTGTGACATATATTTACAATTTTTTAGGTTATGGATCTGCATGAAAAATTTATTTTATTTATAATATAACTAATTATGGTCTATAATATTAATATAAGTCAGTTTTATCTTTTTAAAGTTATTATTAATGTTTAGGTATATATTATAATAAAGCATTAAATATAATTTTAAATTAAAAGTATATTTAAAATTATTTTAATACATTGTGCAAATTATAGTACCTAAATACGTAGAATTTTTAAATTTTGATAATAATGAATAAATTTATCAACTATAACTGAATTAATATTAATATTTTATGGTGGTAAAAAAATATTTTACTTATTTTAAACAAAATTATAGATGGTAACTCATAAGTATATTGCAGTATATTTATGATAATCATTTTAGGTTAAAATTGGTATAAACTATTGATATTATCTATGAATAAAAAATAGTCACATTTATGTTTGTTATAAAAAATATATTATGTTATATGAAGGCAATAAACAATTATCATTTAATACATTTACTATACATTTTAATACTTAAATAGATAATTTACAATCTTAAGAGATATATTATGTACCTAACTAAATTGTCACCTATTATCATATAAAATTTATATATATATATTATAAACTTCGTATAAAGAGCATATAGTATACATTTCATTACGTTATCCTTACTTGTACAGGCGCCAAAAAAAAAAAAAAAAAAAACACCCAGTGGCGTCAAACCAGGTGACCTGAAAATATTTCTTTAAAATACTGTAACAAAAGTATTGTATTGCGTATTAGAGTAATACTTTAAAGTAGTATATTGTTGATCTTTTGTAATTTATGTTCATGGAATTGATATACATTTTATTATATTGATTTACTTTATTTATATGTGATTTATATCACTTAAATGAAGTACATTATACCTACCAAATTTAGACATCATTCAAAATAAATAACATAAATACGAGGCAAGGTCCCGAGTTGTATTAATGTAATATATTACCCCAATAATTGTTCACATTTATCAAAAAAAGCACTTTCATAATTAATGTTAAATCTGATATTTATTTAAAATATTTTTAAGCTCTTAAGTTTGCATTATATACCGTATAAGTATTGTTTTGAATGATTGACTTGAATGATGACTCATTTCTATAAATTACTTTTCGAATTCATCGGATGTAATTGTCAAGTCAGGTTAGTATTTGAAAATAAAAGTTCATTAAGCCCTGGTTAGTTGGTCGCAGAAATCCAATTATTGTCAAAGTTTGGTGTAAAGAGTTGACTCGAATAACAACTGAAAACTTTCCGTTGGATTGATTGTTTTTAGAACTTCTTATAACTTAATTACAAAACCAAAGTACCTACCCATTGAAAGATTAATAATTTTGAAACTCTTACTTGAATCATAATTTCGGTTTTGAATGATTAGTTATCGAATTTCTAATGTACTTCAATTTAATTATTATATAGATTTATTGTAGGTTAAACATCTAATTTATTAATGAATACACACCAAAATAGTACGTGTGATCATAAATAATTTCTCATACGTTATAATTCAAAATTAAATTAATGAAATTTAAAATTTAAATACTTTAAATTTAATGATAAGTATATCCTCACACATATTCTCATTTATATTTCTTAATTTAACAAATTTTAAATACATTTATATTTAATTTAACGTAAATGTCAAATACATTCATATATATATATTGTGTGTTTACATATATCAGTGTTAAAATTATGATTCATAATTTATAATAAATGGTTTAAACATATGTTTAAATTAGAATTTTTAATAATAGATTTTAGTAAAGGAACTTATATGTGAAATTTAACTGTGTAAGGTTAGGTATGGTTTTGTGCTTATATTGAGTGAAGTATTTATTAAAATTTATTTATTTATTGCAGTATATTAGTATATTTTAATGTTAGATTTACTCCAGTTTATATAGTGAATATATATTTATATTATTATTGCTGTGTTTTACTTTCTATAGTAATTTTGAATTTTGTTTATAACAGAACATACGGGTGTGTCGACGACACGTCATATAAGAAATAGAAAAAGACATAAATTCTGGTATTCGGGGGTGTATAGACATACCAAGCATTTACGGGGGAAAAAGGGTCGTTTTCAGAGTTTAAAATTTGGCGCCTTGCCTACTCTACTTCCGTTTAATTTGCGTAGTGACGCCGTCTGGATAACATTTAAGAACATCGTCGTAATGGAAACACGTGATCACCAAAAAAATAATGATATAACTACACTCCATAAGTATTTATCATCTTGTTGTCTGCAAACCAGTACGTAAAACCGATAGTAATTGTTTTTACGATTTTAGTCTCATTGAATATTTGGACCGTTTGGGAGACAATTTTCGTTTAATATCGTGTGCAATATACTATAAATATATTTAGAAGGAGCGAACAAAGTGAAAAAATATATATAATATGTGTGTGTGAGTGTAAACGAAGAAGACAAAATGTGACCCAGCGGTGGGCCGTAGGAAATGGTCGTGGCGCCAGGGACAAAAGACTTTTGTCCAAGGTAAAATACACATAAATGCAGGTGCTCGTTGTCGTCGTCGCGTCCTTAGGGTCAATACGAGTGTCTAATCTAATGGCTTGTCAATTGGTTCGTCGCCGCCACCGCCGCCGTCGCTGTCGCCGTCGAGACCGCCGTCCGTCCAGTACTTAAGCAGACGTGTCTCTCTGGGGCGACACTCGTTTTTAATCCTTTGTAACTTCTCTCCCAATCTATACCATCCCCCGAACACATACCTGTACAATTATTATATAGGTACATGGGAATATATAAGGAATTCGGGACTACATTAGATATATTTTTTTTAAACTGGATTTTGGTTGGGATTTTGCCTTGTCAGTCTGGCTCCGACAAATCGGATTTAAAGGGTCGTTATCAGAGACTTCCACGATACAAGAAAAAGATAAACGGATTATCAACGTTATTAAGTACGTGGGTATGGAGTACATGCGTGTATTATAAATAGGTATGTCTACCGTGGTTGGTGGAATGATGCGCAGAAGGAGGTAAAGACAGATTCGCATGTTCGCAATAATAACGATATTAAACACCGTAGTTTATTATGGTTGTGAAATATGATTATGGGTTGTCAAAAAATACTATGTTCGATCAAAATCAATCAAAAAAAGTTATTTAATAGACCCATACTGAGAAAATACTTGAATCAAATAAATATATGATAATAATTTTAATCTTTATAGTAAATGTTAAACAATTCTATCAAAATGCTTTGTTCAACAATATTTACACCATGGCTATGTGTTTAAAGGAATTTTTTTATGATTTTCACATATTTTTACTACTAATACTTTTTTTTTTGTCTATTCAGTCAACTGCATTTACTATTTTCAACATATTAAATTTAAGTATTATACATTACATTTTAACACAAAATTATCTATTAACTATTTTTAATTATTTTATTTCATATTTTAAAAGTAAATTGATAAATCTATGAATAATAAACAACAGTATAGATGGCGAGTTTCAAATCGCTTTATCTTTATTTTAGGTCCATGAACACATTTTAAGCATATCGTGTTTTTTTAAGATATTTTAATAATTGAATACAAAGTATTTGTATAAAAATATAGCTCAAGAAATTAAAAAAGTAATAAGTGGCAATGTGTTATTTAAAAAGGTTGAAGTTTGAAAACTATTCGTATAGAAGATAGATATTTAAATTAAAAATTGATTGGTAATAATTTACACAATATACGTCATAATATGTTTTTTCTAGCCTCCGGGGACATTCTTTATCACTACAAAAAAATTACTATTTTTCTATATAAAGATTCTTAAATAAAGAATAAATATAAACTGTAAAATTACTTGTAGAAATATATTTTTATTATTACTAATTTATGGATAATTTATTAAATTGAAACACAAAATATTTTTTAATAGACTAAATATTTAAATACCATATACAATTTAAAATGTTATTACCAATAATTACAATTTAATAATATTATTCGTTTTTATATTGAAACTATATCAATTTATAAAGAATTTAATAATATAAATATATTATAATACCTACTATAATTACACTAATGGAAATAGTCTCCATTTGTCACATTGTTAAGATCTTAATGGTTTTTATTTAAAAATGTATTTTTTTAAATCTTCTTAAGTAGGTAGTTTTATTTCATTATGGTAATATGCTTGTATTTTATTTATTTTTTTAGAATCACTGGGCTCGTATAGCCAGTCTGTTTATGACCTGAGTACACTTGAACCCTCTGAAATAGTCCAAAAAGCAGTCCTTCAGCTTGAACCAAACACAAATCATCAATTTAGCAAAGCCATAAATGTATCATTTTTCGCTTTGCCTAAACAAACCGTATCTAAAACTTATTTAGGGTCAGGAACTATACATGGCACTTTAAATTTGGTTAACACTTTGGGTTCACAAACGTTAAATGACTTCGACCAGTTAATCGTTCAAATGGAAGGTGCGGCAAAATTGTCAATTGGACTCGTGTTATATTCGATAACCGCAGTTGGTAAATATGCAAAAGGCAACGAATTAGCAAATTTACTGTTTGAAACTACAGTTAAAAGACGTAAGAGGTCAGTTGCTGATAATGAAATTGACATTAAACGAAATAATTTCGTGGATGAACCAAAACGAAAGAAGAAGAAGCAAAAAATATTACGATCCAATAAACTACAGGTAATTTTATGAAATATTTTCCTTTACATAAAATTATAAATAAATTATTTTTCTAATTTTTTATTTAAATTATTATAATTAACAACGATAAATAAATATATTACCTAATATTTTGTAAATATAAGTATATTTTTGCTATAAAAGTAGGTAGTATATATTATTTTTCTAATACTATTCAAATTAGCTAAAGCATTAAATAAAGCTATTTAATATAACATTTAATTTCATTATAGCATAAAGTTTCAAACTGTGCCATATTATGAATAATGCATTTATGTTATATGAAAAATAAAAAAATAGTTAATACATTTTTTTATGTTATAATACTTAATAATGTTATAGTGTTTTATATTTTTTACATTTTTTATAATTTTTTATAGTTTAAAGTATAATATACTCGTATATTTTGATTTTAATCCAATCGTTTCGTTATGAATATTTTAAATGATTTTTAGTGTAAAATATTTTTCTAAAATTCATAATAGTTGTAATACTAATAGCTTTCGTATAGAATTAAAAATAAATATATTGCTTATTCAGTAATTCATAATACTTTTTAATAATATAAAATTGTAATTAATCAATTTATTTATAAATTTTATTTGAGCTGATATGAACAAATTGAATTCTTTAATATTTAATCAGTTTTAGTAAATAATTAAAGAAAATATAATATGCATAAACAAAACACATTGCAGTCGCTCAAGCATAAGATATAATCTATTAAAAAACGATTAAAAATCTAATAAAAAAATAATTTAAAGTACCAAAAGTTGATGAATATTTTAACAATTTTTGTTGCATCTACTCGTAAATATTATTTTTGAATTTAGATAACTATATGAGAGATTTTTTTATCGTTCAAAGAATATCAAGTTGGAATTGTAACGCCTTAAAATAGTTTGAATAAAATTATTTTCAATGTATTTTATGATGTGTATAGGTACACATAATTGCTATTTTAATAAAATAAAATATTTAATTATTTTAATGTATACCTACTACACATATTTGTCGTTAAATTTTAAACTTAGTCACTTTAACTGAATAAAAACAAGTTGAAGTCATGATATTTGACTAAAACTATAATTCATACTACTTGAAGATTTTTTTATGTACCAAAACAGTCTTATTTTAATCTAATATTAGTCTTAATTGAGTTATTTTTAACTTAACATAGAAACGTATCACATTTTTTTACTGAACTATCTAATAAGATTTAATTAATAAAACAACATAAAAATGTTCTGGTTCAGTAAATTCTGAAGTTATATTGAAACTTTAATTGAGATTTAGTGTCAAAAATAATTGAGAATAATAATTGGTTTTTGTGCTAATTTGCGTAGGTATGTTGTAAATGTGTTAAACTTGTATTTGTTTTTAAAATATTTTTAGCCACCCATGAAATATTATAGAAAATCCACAATATAAATAAATTTAAAGGAATTGGTTATTTTTGATGCAGATTCTGCTATAGTTATTTATTTTATATTAATGATACATAGATAGATGTGGACTGAAAATTCTCTGGCCTAATAAGACAAATTTATATGTTAACCAAGAATATAAAATTAGTTTTATTACTTTAATTTATGTTATTTAATTGATAGTTTAAGAAATTGTTTTATTGACAACTGTTTTTGGTGAGTTTAGAACTAATGTTTTAGCTTGACTTTTGAAAATGTATGGAAAAATTATAACAAAAAAAAGAAAAGAGTAAATAAACCAATTGGGTAACAATACAACTTTAAAAATAACTAATTTGAAAATTTAAATATCAATACGATATACTATATAATAATATACAATATATTAAAATAAAATAATATCTTGAAATTTATATACATTTTTATAAATCAATTCACAATTAAATTAAAATTAATAATACACACAACGAATTCAACTGAATTAATTTACTTAGTTGTACATATTTTGTAATGAACGTTGATTGATACAGAATGCACACGCGAGTACAATCACAGAATAATTTATTTTCAGATTTAATATTTTTGCGGAGTTAAGACTATATTGTGTAGATACTCGAATATTCGATAGTCTACAAAACTGTACACATATTTTACTCATATAAAAAAAAAAAAAAATAATAAGAAAATAGGTATGATTAAGATAATCAATAAATTATTACTTATTAATGATAATACAGTTAAAATTTATTTTATATCTGTTGAAATAATTTTGTTTGATTTATTAGCTAATGGCCATAATTAATAATACCATTGATTATAGAATAAATTATAATCAATGATAATATGTTATGGCTATAAAACTTAAATATGAGAAGTGTCCCGATCCGCGCCTGTAACATGTAACGTATAGACAAACATCAGTACACGCGTTAAGTTAGATATTCAACATTTTTTGGCTTCTTATTTATTTTCTTGGTACGCTTTTGAAAATAATATTGACGTGTGTGCATTCGAATATATCATAAACTTAAAAAAAATAATAATAACGAAAAACAAAACGTTATTTTAATCTATCTCTGGCAATAGAATATAAATATAACACATATGTATAACTCATGTATATTTACATGAATATTGGTCCTGTTTTACAACAATATTATGTGTGTTGTGCAGGCCGTGGACACAGGTGACACGATCACGTTTACCGGTATGGACCAGTGCCGGATGGAGAAGCTGGTGCTCAACTTCGCGGACATCGGATGGGAAGACTGGGTGATCTACCCGAAGGGGTTCGAGACCAACTACTGTGCGGGCGGTTGCCTTTTCCCGCTGGGCAAGGGATCCAAGCCCACCAACCACGCGACCGTGCAGAGCCTGGCCAGATCGTTCGGCCGATTGTGGGATCTGCCGGAGCCGTCGTGCGTGCCCGACACGCTTGCGCCGCTCACGTTGCTCTACATGGACCGGTCTAACCACGTGTTGCTCAAAAGCTACCCCGACATGAGGGTGGTCTCGTGCTCGTGCAAGTGATGCAAATATACCACGACCGCGGTTATGACATGCATGTCGGGTGGCATTACGTGACGCCACGGCAACAGCGTTATACATGCCACGATGTACCTGTGTATACCTACTATCTATAGGTTAGGTTAGGTTTGTCCTAGGTTAATTAATCTGGTTAATTTATTGTTCTGCTAGGCATAACCCATAGATGATCTGACACACTCAAATTTAACCATAATGCGATCGTGTTCAGATATTCCATGTATACCGTGTATCATTGTAGTACGGTATAAGTTATATGCTAAATTGTATTAAAGTAATTCGCTTATACGTGCACTACACAATACAGCGAAATAATAATAAAATTAGTATGGCGAACGACAAAAAGAAAATCTCAGTGTTACCAAACCATGTGGTGATTTGTACAGCTCAAGTTAGTGCATAGTAGGCATGTATAACTATGCATTGACCAATATTTATGTACCATTATTATATTAATGCTATTTATTGAAAAATTGTAATAATTAAATATCTATTATTATTGTTATTGTTCTCAATAAGTGCATAACTGTAATGACAATAAAATAATAAACATTCTGCTACGTCACATTCATAAATAACAAATAAATGATATATAATTATACATTATTTAAGCAATCCAAGTCAGCTCTCTTGAAACGTAAATTGTCGGAATAGTGATCGTTTTATTTTTATTTTTCAAGTATTATTTTAAACCTATATGAATGCGATATACAGTTTTGATTGGTTATTATCCATTTTATTGGATTATGCTTATCATAGTAATGTTACTTTGTTTTTAAATTGTTTATTTTGAATAAATTATGAATGTGACGACGCAATGTTTGATGATGATACGCAAAAATTGTGTTATTATCATATCATTATTTTGTCTAATATTGATGATGACCTATTATTGTAATACCATGTTATAAGTTACATTATTATCTAAATTTTAAGACAAGTTGTATTATATTATTTTTAAGCTACCCATTTTAATTTTAATATGTTTAGGTATTTATTGTATCAACACATATCAAATTATTATTGAATTATTTTTATTTTTATATTTTTAATAAATGTATAAACGCCTAAAAAAATGTTTAAAGCTATATTTACCCGTAGCAAGTGTTGTTTTTCTCATAAAACTTATGTATTATGTACATCATATTATTATGTTTGTGCATTTTTACCTATGCGTTTCATATCGTCACAAGATACGTGACAGTTTTATTAAAATATACATAAGCCAATTTAATTTTTTAAATCACATAATTTAATTAAAATGAATTTTTCAATATCTATTTTTAAAAACTATTATAAAATATAGCGTGACTAATTAAACGTATTTAACTACATTTTTAAATATACTCAACTATCATATTTTCAAATTATTGCAATTTTTCGTACTATATAAGAAGTGTCCTATGTTGATACAAACTTCTATTTTTTAAACGAGAACCTTCTTTTATATTGTAAATTATCTAGTTAATTGAAAATTTTTATGTGCGTAATTCAAAATTCAAATGAAAAGTTTCTCAATTACTAAAATGGTTATACTGTGGGTAAGCGATGGTTTTACAAAAATAAAAAAAGTATTATATAAATATTAAATAATTATTATACCTAGACCATTTTTTTAAATTATAAATGTTGATAAATTGATCTTTTAGGTATATTTAAAAATTATAATAATTAAATTTTGAACAACTGTAGTATTGAATAAAAAAAAGGATAAACGTGCTGTATATGTTTTTATTAGAAAATTAATTTCAAGTATACCTAAATCATGTATTTTTTTTGTGCCAATAAATTTATTACAAATTAAATTCATCAATAAATGAATAATAAATTATACCATGAAAATTATCATTATAAAAACACAAATCAGTTTTAATATAGACTTAAAAAAAATTTAAATCTTCATTACTCACTTACTCGTATTAATACATTATTATATTATAAAATATTAGACATAGATACCATTTTTTTTTTTAATTATATTTATCAGCTAAAATTCAATTAGTATAAACAATACAAATAAAATTAGTATATTTTAAAATTTTTTCTATACAAAATATTTCAAAAGTATCCATAATTATTATTTTTTATTATAAATTACAAAAAATGTATACTAATTTTTTTCAATATTTTATTTTATAGAAAATTTTATAAACAAAAAAATACTAATTAGAATTAAAATTCTACAGACAAATACAATACTGTTATTATATATCTATGATATCTATGCTACATATTGATAATCTCGAAAAATATAAATTCGTTTAATCTTTAGATAATATTACTTTCTTTTCTGGTATTTGTAAATGAATATTCCATTTTGATCATTTTTTAATTTATTGTATTGCGTATAGATAGTAAACGTAATCGATATATACGCCACCACGTATCTCAATATCGTTCAGCGCAATATAAATGATATGTAACCTTTTTGAATTCCATAATCATATTTTTTTAAACTGTGGTTTTTGATATAATTGATATAAGTACACATAACCAATAGTAGGTATTTACCTCAAATAAATAACTATCTATAGTTTGTAATAAATTAATAATAATGTTTGCGTATAATTTCATGCATGGTTGAATAACCAACAGTTATTATTTAAGAACAAAAAGTGGAAAAGTATATAATTGCAGCAGATCTGCTATAATAGTATAGGTATCAAGTGCACCTCGCAATTGAGGAAATCACTGTGATGGATGTGTTAAATTTTAATTCAATGATAAAGCACTACATGAATAAAATAATGCCTGTATTAACGTTACGAGAACATTTTTAAATATACATAACCTAACCTAATCTACAGATATTCGTTTATGAGTTACGAAAAAAAATTGTCAAAATGTTTTTCTTATTATTTAAAAAAAAAACTGAAAAGTTTTTACTTTTGATCAAAAGTGCTAATTACATTAGGTTTTCTACCAAAATCAACTCTCTAAGTTAAAAATCAAAACATTTTTAAAGCTAAGTTGCTGCCTAAATATCACCGCATTTGATTTCTCTTTACGAGTTGTAAATTTTTAACTATTTAGTCAATCCATAAATATCAGATAGTTCACTCTAAATAAAATATAAAGCCTCTCAAAAAATTAACGCAAATTATATTTGATTTTTAACTTTTTATGACACTTGTTAATAAATTCAAGTAATACCTCTTACTAAATACATAAACATAATATCTAATAATACGAACATGTATATTTTATGGACACACGTCTACAACGTATGTTTTCTTAAAAATATTTGGTCATTATGTTATAATATAATACAGTAGAAATAAATACTTCAAAATGCATAAAAGGAAAAGTAATGACGTTCGGTTAACGTTTTTAAATTTATGTTTACGTTAATGAAACTGTTAGTTTTCAATGGAACTGATGGTGAGAGGCAGCACAGTAGTGGTAATAGTACAACTACGTGAAGAAGTGGGATAACTCGTCGTATAATAATATTATACTAGAGTCGTATTACATATTAATGGATTGGGTGGACGGCTGAGTATGTATACATTTTATGCTGTAACTAGCCAGTCTTATTTTAGTGACCGATACATTTTAGTCACGGGTATTCAAGATAAATGATAAAAAAAAATCGTATCATTAACTATTAATACTTGATTAGTTTTAAATATAACAGTTGTGTGTTTTATTTTATTTTTATACAATAAGTGCATACTATACGTGTGATTTTTGGACTAAAATGATTCTTACGCGAACGCCGAGTTCTTCGCACCCGTGTAGACTGAATACGGTAAGTAAATTTTTTTAAACAAATTATACTTTGAAATTAGATGTCTAAAATAGAGTCTATAATTTTTTTCAACAGCAAAAATTATATTGAACACTTTCACTTAGTTAATATACTCTTGCATACCAATCGTAGTTTTAATGTAGCTTTAAGAGAATAATATTCTATATAATAATCTGAGGTTGTTGTAGAGAATAGAAACCAAGCCGGTTTTACCTATATGTTTTAACACTAAATATTACATTTGTAAACTCAGTGGTGCTGCTTTATACATTTATTTTGTTTTATGTAGAATTTGGTTATAATTAATTAGTTAGGCACATATTCTATTACTTAATGTAAATTGTAAGGGTCACCAAAATCAACTTATACATTAACTCTTTACTCTGTATTCATCCATGTACAATTCTATACACTATCACTGCAGTAAATAATCCTGTGAGTACATTACTTAAATACCTACTTAATGTATTTACTATTTTTACATTTTTATTTGACATTTTATACAGATAAAACTATTAAAATCTAAAAAAAAAATATTTAATTTAATTCAAATTTTTTTTAATTTTATTTTTAGTTAAGTATAACGTACAAATATAACAATAAAATTATCAAATTGAATTAAAAACTAAATAATATGTATAATATTTAATTATTTTAAATTTATTGTATTCCATGTATTATTATTTATTACTTATGAATTATTTATTAGTAATAAGTTATTACATATATTTTATATTCCGAGTGGAACGATGAATGAATGGTTTTGAAATCATTTTTTAATACCTGTTAACACCTTTTGGAGAAATTAAAATACTAAAATATTGAACTTTGATATCATTTTTTGGTATAAAAGTAAATCTAATTATATTATTTTGGGAGTCTGAAGAGAAAATTTTTCACTATGTTTGTTAATAACTCAGAAAAATAAAAAATAAACTAGAAATTTTAAACAAAACCAGTTTTTGACAAAACCAACTTTCTTATTTTATTAAAAATTAATTATTATAGCTACTTGATTAATAATTTTCATGGACATTTGTTGATAGTCTTTTCTATTCATTATATAATTTAAAAAATATTTTAAATCTTTTTGAGCTATTTATTAACGTGTCTAAAAATTTAATAATATGATAGGTAAATTAAATATCAATATATTTTATTTTAATGATAATATAAATACAATGTCTTTGACCAAGATTATTAAACTTACCATATTACTAATAATAAAATAAATTACTATAAAATAGCAATACAAATACATTTTAAAATATATTTAGAGTTTAATATTATAGATTGACAGACTATTATCAGACACAGAATCATTTTTGGTATGCAATAATTTATCACTGAATTCAAAATTAACGCATTCATTACAGTAACTTACTCAATTACAACTTATGCCCAGCACTTTCTATATAGAAAACTAATTATCTACATTTTTTTCCTTTTTTTATCTTGTAAGTATTTATTGATTTATTATATAATTTTATATTTACTTATCTAATTTAAATATAAATATAGATGATCCAATTGGACAGTTCAATAAATTTATATTTATATTTTTTAATGATTGTACTACATATATAATAATATTTAAACTTTATAAATTTAATTAATGCAGGTTATATGAATGATTTTCCAGTTTCCTTAACTATAATACAAATATCAATAAAAGCGTATTGAGTTTAACATTAATATGTAATTACTTAATTTAATATTAATCGGTACTATGCCATATATATATTTAGGTATAATATAACTATGGCTATACAATTATTAGATCAACTTAATTTTATTATGTATTTTTTTTTTTTACTATAAGTTGTAATATTTAAAAATAAAAAGTGACACACCATGTGTGATATCAATCTTTTAAGAAATTAATATTATGTAGTTGATTTGAAATAAATAATAATATTATTTATTAAATTCAAGTTATTGATAGTATACATTAAAAAAAATATTATTTTAATTTGGTTTAAAATATAAAATGCAAATAAATTTAAATATGAATATAAAAATTTAATTATTTAATAAATTGTACATAATGCACATTATATGTTTATACATTAATATGTATTCATAATTATTAATACATTATAATATATAAACATATTATTATTTAATGTTGTTTCAAATAAATAAAAACAAGAACTCTTGGAATCATAAACGTTTACAGTAACGTCATTTCAAAAAAAGGAAAAACGATGATAAATGTTTCTCAAGGGATGGGATGCGAAATAAGGAACTTCACTATGGCATTTATGAAATTGGAAAACTGACTTTTATAATTTAAACTCCAAGTTTCTGTAGTATATATGATGAATGTAAGATTGTATTTGATACTTAAATAAAATTTAATTTTTTTTTTTTTTTTTAAACATCATTTTACTAAAAGACATTTAAATAAATATGGTAAAAGCTATAGTTTGAGCGATGTTAAAAATGCAGTGTACGAATTGCCTATATTATTTATTTGAAATAATATAAGAATATTTAACAGTCATTTCTAATTTAATATAAGAATTTAATTAGATATTTTATAAATGTTTCTAAGACATTACCTAATAGTTATGATTTTAGATTCTTTGACCATGCTCAATGATTCATGTTATTGAAGATTAAAAAAAAATTAGGTTTAAGATTTTTCAAATTTTTACATGAGTGATATAATTTATTTGTTTTAAAATATATATTTATAACTATAACTAGATATACGCATATTTTAATGTTATATATTATAAAAACATACAAAAACATTATAAAATGTGTTTTATGTTATTAATAACAACATCAATGCCGAATTATTTACAGATACTATTTAAACTGAAACATAATATATTAATAACGGTACAATGTGTAAATTTATACATTGTTAAATTGATTAATCTAAAAATTAATACACGATGATAGCATTGAAATATACATTTGACAAATATTATTAATATTTTAAAATTTATTCGTCATCATAATTATCTATTACCTAATGGCATGACTTCATCATTTGTAAACAGTTTACTTTTATTGTACATACAATCGATATAACATCATATAACGTAAACAAAGTTTGAATTCACAAAATAAATGAATAATGCTTTGATTAATGACTATTTTTATAATAACAACATAATATGCGTTATATTTAGTATTACTATAATATTATGACCTTTGCAATAATATGTAGCTTATATGTTGTAAATTATCGAACGTAAACAGACAGATCTGATCAAGTGTGAGTTTGATTCTAAGCGTTTGTAATATTAAATTGGCCATGTATCTTATCAAATACGGTGTTCATGAAAGATTTTGACACAAAATCGTGATAACATTATAAATAATAACGTAACATTGTTTCGATATTTTTGTACTAGTTGTTACTCGTAGTGTTACGCCAAGGATCAATATAATTACGATGAACGCAGTTTCAAGATTTACTATGAATATTTATTATCACAATTAAAACTAAAATAACAGAACGTTATATTTTTTCATAATGGGAATATAATAAGAACAAACAATTGGTATGTACGCATCTTAATCATTGCTCAATACTTACTACTTTCTCCGCGTTCCTTCGCGCATATCGTACCATGTATAGCTATTATGATTATTACAATACTACCATCATCGTCATCATTACTATTATTACATAATATCACAATTCCGTATTCTGTAAGTCGAGTAAAAAGCCGTTGTGTTATTACCATCGTGGTTGACTGACGGCTCCTTCCCGCCGTAGTCATTAGAATATGTTATTATTATTATTATTATTATTATTATTATTATTATTATTATTATTATTATATATTTTACTGGAATCCGTCGTCTGGCATAATTAATTTTTCTCTTATTATTATTAAATACCACAGCTATTGCGAATGCACAAGATACCCTCGTGTTAACAAGTTACATTTTTTTCTTTTTAATATTTTGATTACTTCAAGGATATCGTGTCAACTGCATAAAGTACAATTACGCAAGACTATGGTTTATTTTTATTATTTTTACAAATTTTCGAAACACTCACAATGTTGCGTTCGTAAAACTCTAGCTGTGATTCATTTACGATACCGACACTGTATTATAATATAATACCTATGCATCATAATGCGGTTGTGTGTTTAATATACGACTATTACACTATGTTCACATAACGAGTAACGCCGCTTTTTTAAATCTATATTTTCATTATCGACATTATACACTTTCACCGTATACATGACCTTAAGTCTTATACAAGTGCATCGAACTTCACGTTTCTCATATTACTATGTTCAATACCTACATTAATCGTCACATGTAATTATAATATTCCAAAGTTTCTTGCCACATACATTTTTTTAGATAGGTGTATACTGTATATATTATATTCTAATTAGAACAGTGATTTGATGTATTTATAATGAATACATACGATATATAAATATATATTAACTGATACTGCAATTAATAAATTCAATGAAAAAAGACGTAATGTTTGCATCGTTCTACCTTTAATGGTGGACAGTCAGAAGTAGCATAACATTATCCTTGGAAATTGAATAACACATAAAAATTACCCACACATCACTTTCACTCATTTCACTTTCTAACATGAGTAAATACTATCTGCATTGTCGTATGATACCTTTAATAACATACAATAAATGCAATAACTGCAATATTGACGATTGGGTTTGATGAAAAATTGTTTGTTAAAAATCATAGTTTTCCAAACAACATAATATTATAGTATTATATAAATTACGCGTTTCTTTGTATTTTGTATCACTATAATAATATGTCTGGTCTAAATTATTATTATCGTCAATGAAATGGCACTATTATACGTCATGTCATGTTTAAATAACTTTGCACTTGTCTATTCCACTTAATTACTTGTTTATTGACACTACCTGTATTTATACATGTTAACGTTCTTTGCCTGTTACTTAATAAGCCTCTTTAAAATTTTGAATAAAATATTAAACGAAACGACTTTCTGATTAATTCTTCTAGTAACAATAGACTGTAGATCTTTGTAAATATTTTGACTATGGAAAGAAATAATAAAATTGGGAAATTATTTATTTTTTTTACTTAATACCTAGTATAATTCATAATATTATATTTATTATTTAAAACAATAGACATAATCGTTAGTAAAGAGATAATATACTAGTCAAGTAAAAACCATAAATACATATTTTACTTCATATGTATTCTTATACAGTATTGGCAAATCATAAATAAACATTAATATAATATTATTATATTATAAACCTACTGAACAAATTTTTAAAAGAAGGTCGACAAGCTCCAATTAGTGCCCTAATTAATTAAATCGAACAAAATTAGACAAATTGCTGAAATGTTACCTATATGGACATAGTAGGCAACAGATATAGAATGTTGCTCGTCGTTGAGTGTAACTGTATAGATCACTGAAATAGATAATAATAAATTCAAATTTAATTTTAGTATAAATTGGTATATGTGAAGGCTTTTTCGAAGTTCTTACGAATAATATGTTTTGAATTTTGAAGCTAAGTTTGAACAAGAATGGTTATCTACATTCCCCTTTTAATCATTATTCCTAATTATATTGAGAAGTACTTTTCTTTTGAGTATAAAATTAAGAAATATGATGGTAGTTGAAAATTAAGATTTTTTTTTATAATTAAATCATTTATACAATTATAATAATTATTGGGAGTTAGAGGTTTTAAAATAAAATAAAACCTGATTGTCTTAAAACTAGTCGATAGCTATGTATACTATGGATTGCTCTGTTAACTATAGTTAAATAAGTTTATAGAAATACACTAAAACGATTTAATTAAAATAGTATAGGATTTTAAAAATTTACATTATATTATTATAATGTAAGAAAATATACAATATAAATATTATAGGTACCCCATAGATTTTTATAACCAAAAAAAAAAAAAAACAATAAAAAATATAATGGAATTTCGATGTTCAATTTATTTTAAAAAATCAGAACACCCCAGGACGCCGTTCACCATGAACTATAGTATATCCTGCATTAATAATAATTATTCTGTTTTTTAATGTACAAATACATTTTTTTTTTTTTATAAACGCGAACAATATTGATATTTTGTCTTTTAAATAATAAGATCATTCATCAGTTTTTACTTAATACCTATCCATAGTCGTAAACTAAAAACTAATAATATATACTAACCTAACCTGTAAAATTGATATATATTTCAACTTATGATTTGTATAAAATGTATTTATTTAAACTTTAAATTTTAAAATTTAGACCGATTTCCATATTTTACTTTGACATTATATATTTTTATGTAACATTATAATAATATGTAAATATACTTTTTTATTATTTCAGTTCTTTTTCTGGACGACTTTCGTCAATTAACTTGTTGGCATAGAAGGTTATTCTGAAATTTCTCTTTTTATGTTTCATTTCTCAAGAAAGATTTGAAAATATAAATATATAGTTTTATCAAGGTACATGCATATTATATACATAACATTGTGAAAGTTGTATTTAGTAAAACTATTTGGATTAAAACATTTTTGACTTTGAGTAGAGCAATGAAAGTATTGGTTTAATAATGGTTTGTTGTTTTTATTATTTATTCTATTATTTTTTTTTTTTGTATCTTTGACATTTTTTAGTAGAAAAATGCTCCAACTTTGAGAGTGGTTTCAAGTAGTTATCAGGATCTAGTTTGTACTCAGGGAAATAGTACTTTAAAAAAAAAATCGAATAAAAACAAAAGATTTGCAAGTGGGTACAGCTCTGCTTACATTAAATGTTAAATGAGTCACTGTAATGGGTGTATTATATTTCAAACCAATGATAAATTATTGAATATAAAAACAATTTTAAGTGGAGACGGTCTGAAAGCTTTTATTATTAACAATATATATGTTTTTTTTTTTTTATATAACTACTGAAGTATTTTTTTTACGATTATTTTTCATTAATTTAATTTTTCTAAAAACATTGCATTTATTATATTATTAGAACTTATTTAAGTATTATAATAATATATGATTTAACCATATGATATTATTTTTAATAAATTTTCAATTAAAAATACCTTACAGTAAATACCATAAAACTGTGTGAATTGGTTCATAGTATAAACAAATAATATTTAAAAATGAATATACATATTTTGAAAATTTTAACGCGTATAATAAAATTCATAATACCTATGAAAAAAAGATTTACCTAAGTCCCCACAAATAATTAAAAAAAAAAAAATAAAATAAATTTATTATACCTATCGTTTATTCGTTATTAAAATACGTAATTTTGTCAAAATTTGAACTCCAAATATGTATACTAATAATTTGTTTGTTTATATTTTAGTTTCAGTATGAACTACTTACGAAGAACGTTGTAATAAAATTTCTTAATTTTCACCTTAGTTATAAAAATAAAATATTTCATAGATTTTTACTACAAAATAATTTTAGTTTTTAAGTTGTAAATTATTATGATTTTGAAAAAATTATAAAAATGTCAACTTTAAAAACATAATATAAACAAATTGTGCCCATAGCTTATGTATACATATTATATAAGAGCATCATATTATGTAGGATCTTGTAATATATTTTCAATATTTTTTAATCGAAATGTATGGAAAAATATTGCAAATAATTTGTAACCGATATTCATAAATTTTTTTTTAAAAGATAAAAATCGAAAATTTTTGGTGCCCATAAATATAATCCATAAAGAATCAAAATAACAATACAAAAATCTAATGAAATTTAAAAGAATCTACTAATAGTCGTTTGTGAATTACAACAAGAAATAAAATTTACATTGTCAAAAACTGATTTTGCATAGAAATTTCCATTTTATTTACTCCATTTAAAATCTGAAATAAACAGGAGAAGTTAAATAATCACTGCTGTACAGTACGTATCAACTGTCAAGTATACATAGTCATTGAGAAAGTCACTGTAATAGTATAATATACTCGTGTATTAAATTTGAATTAATTGATGAATCACTGCAAATACGTTCAAAGATTTTTAGCTATGACAATCTATTAACTTTTATCTATTATTTTAAGTATACGTTTTTTGATATTATTCTGTATAGTCATTTATATTATTACAAGCGTATTATGGTAACCTGTAAGCATTGAAAGATTTAAAATGTTTTTCTTTTAGTTTTCGTAGTTATTGATGAATACAAGAATTTAACCATAAAACAAGTTTTCGACAGAACCGTTTTTCTTATTTGTCAACATCTTCAAAGGCTCATAAAAAATTATTCTAGATTTACACTTCCATTATAGTGACCTACTCAATGACGTTGTACACTTGATATATCATACTTGACAGCAGATCGATTACCCACTTGACGGTTTTTTCACTTCCTTTATTGGATTTTTTTTTTTTACTTTAAGTGTTAACAAACAAAATACAAAATTAATGACATATTTAAAACATAATTATTAGACAAGTATTGTTTTTTTTAAAGTTTTAAAGTATAAATTTTATTACATCACAAGATTTAAGCTTTTCTATATTTTATTATGTTTACTTTAATATATATTGTCTGTGCTAAATACATATAAATCTGTAGAGTTAAAAATATTGTTATTTTAATAAAAATATTATAATATTGTTTGACATCTAGGAATGATGTTTGCAAACAAAAATATCAAGCATTTTACCACGAGAGGGCGTTACTATTTTCAACTCGTCGTTTTAAATTTTATTTAACTTCTTTCTAAAAGTGTAGATAGTGCTATAATGTTTACATTCAAAGAAATACTATGTATAAGAAAATTAATATTTTTGAACATTTTTAATAAGTTACGTACACAGGAACGATCTTTAATGCACCTAATTTATTAAATTTGTACACTAATGAATGGATACCGAATATCAAATTACATTAGGATTTTTTTAATTATTGACAGATACTTATTTTGTAGGTACTAGGTAATTGCAAATACACGTACAAATGAATACCTATAATTAATGTTAACAAAACCAAATTTTTGTTTTTTTTTGAAAAATAATTTACTATGGAATATTTATAATAACTTAATTAGGTTATTTCATTAAAGATATTATTCTCCAGTATTTACGAAAATGATTTTGATAAATTAATGGTTAAAGCCTACGATAAAAAACTAATTTTTCATTTCAAATTAATAAAATTACAATGCATAATTCTTAAATATTAAAAAAAAATAAATAATTTTTATTAGTCATCCCATTAAACTACTGACTGAAATATTAAAATTTCCTATGCAATAATAACAACTTATTTTAATTTTTTTTCATAGACTATTATATGATTTTGTTTTTTTAAATATCAGTACCTAGCTATAACTCTTAAATTATATTATATTAAAATAAATAAGAACTTTAGGTACTTAATAAATATTATACTATTATTAACATATACATTTCTTCTACAATATGAATTAAACATATTTCAAATAAATGATTTAGGTAACATTGTTAATGTCATAAAACTATTGTTCAATGTCTTTCAATTTATTATAATTGTATTTATTTACGTTAAAATTGTATAAATTAATTTTACCCACTTTAGACCTTCTTTTTCATTTCTTTTTACGATTCCTGTTTATGCTAATAAATTGGCCAATCTAATAATTTTTTTTTTATTTTAGGCTATCACATTGTTGCTAGTCGTTGTTTCGCTAGTACACGGTTTTCCGTTAGATGGACAACAACTCGATTCTGCGGTGGAAGGCGTACAGAAATATTTGGAATCGTCTGGTTTTCCTAAAATGACTCGTGGTGAAGTTTTGGATTTTTTGAACGATTTTTCAAAGAACTCTCGAGTAAGCCGTTCGAATAATAATGCATTAAATGTGAAAAAAGACATTACATACGTCACACCACAACCTGATTTTGAGTACTCAAATACTCAAACGTATACTGATGTAACAAAAAGTAAAACTCCTGTACCAAAAATCCCTAATGGTGAATCACCGCTAAATTATGGATATCCAATGAGTATAAATAAACAAACAGATCTGTCACAGCCATCGTCTACACCAACAATATTTGTGACAGTGCAAGATGGAAATTTAACTAACGATAAAAAAACTGAGATTATGTTGCAAACAATGCAAGAAAGAAATGCACAAAAAAAAAATATCAGCCCTTCTGTCGATTTAAATGCGTATACTAAGTTCAAAAAAATTCCTGAAGCCAGAAATTTGAAAATTGACGATGATATGAAAGATTTTCTTCACAATTTTGGACTATTAGATACTCCGAAATCAGGTAAATCGATTAATCCAAATTCTAACGAACCAAAAAGGCGAAATGACGATGCTACCGTAACAGAAACCGTGGACGAAAAATTATTAAAATCAATTTTAGCTGAAACCGGTAATAGTGGAGTAAACATATCCCAGTTTCAACCGCTGCTCGAAAGTGCATCAACCCGGGACCATGTGTTCAACCCGTCCGACTCTAACGTCAAAACTATAGATATCAACAGGATAGCAAAAATAGTGGCAAATATACGGCTATTGGCCGATGATAACAATACTGTTTCATTGTCACAAGATGCTATCAAAAAGAAATTAGAAAACATAACAGAGGCCATTTCTGCTATTGATCAACCTACCGATAACAGTGCATTTAATGGGTATGAAGTGTTCTTCGACGATAATTCCAAAGAAGTCGATTCTGATTTGCCAGAGTCACCTATTGTTCCAGAGACTCAATCTTTGAATAAGGCACAGAATCCTCCTGATCCTTTGTCCACCGATGAACTTCAAATGCTGTTGGAAAAAAACAAAAATGACGTCAAACGTCAAGAGCCAGCGAACAATGATTCCATAACAAATATCACAACCTCTACCGAAGAATCAGTGCCTGTCGCAACGTCCTCTGAAACCGTGGTAACATCTGTACCCATTGATTCGTCTTCGGAGGCAACGTCGGTAGAAGTAACATCTGGCGCTAATGCAGCAAGAGATTCTTCCACGGTAGCTGATACAAATCCGAGTCTATCTCAATTGGCCGAATCGTTTGGTGGAGGCGAGACAGCTAGTAATCCACCGACAGTTGATGAAATGATAACACCTGGACCCGATCGACCTAAAAATGGTTTGTATTTCTATGTGGACTGGAACTCATTTTTGACAGTTAACGGAGGTCAAAAGAACCAAGTTAACTTGAGGTTTGCACCGAAAGCTGGGAACCCAAATCATTTTATCAAGGTCAATGTACCATAACCAATTTTAGACGTTATTAAATTATTAATCTAAATAATGTATACTGTGTTGGCTTTTTCCAAGATGCCGTCTACTAAATATGCTGTACAGTTGTACTATTTATTAAATCATTGTAAATATAGTTTTAAAAATAAAAATAAAACATATTATATACCTAAGTATATTTTATGTCATTGAAAAAAACACCTACGTATTTTTTATGTTCATATTATTATTATTATTATTTTTTTTTCCGTAATAATTATTTGAATTTTATAAATAAAAAAGTATAAGAATATATGTATATTTGAGTGGTGCCCATAAAAATTCCCGGCCCCCAAACACCACTCGAAATTTCCTTTTGAAATTTTACCAGCTACAAACATATTATAGTGAATAAAAATAGTATGCAAGTGCTAACAAACGAATGCATTGCCCGTTCACGTAATAAGTGCTAACCCTCCATTAAAATATTTCTTCAATTCGCCCCTAGGTTTAAAGCTCCGCCCATGTTAGTACTGAGTAACGACTTTTTTTTCTATTTTGTATGCCCAGAATAATTATCCGTATTAATAATGTCACTAATGAGATCGAGTGGAAGTGCTGCAGTACTTACCTATATAGGTACGTAAAGTATGTATAATATATTACGCACTGTAATCACAAATCATTGCAACGTATATAACATGCACATTACTATTTAAAACTAGTATCCATACCTAATATACTATGATTTGTGATGTTTTAGTAAATATTTATTATTATTATGATACAATATATAATCGTATTAAAATATTATATTCATAAATATAAGTATAAAATAATTAAAATTATATTATTGATTATACGTTTTATGCAACATTTTAACATAGTACGTTTGAAAAGTGGTAATATTTAAAAACTGAAAGCACTTACGGTAATGGATGTATTTATATAATTTATTCCGGTACTAGCCAGTGACCAGTGTATTAACTATTATTGATAATATCATTTTGTTGAATATAAAAACAGCGTGAATCAAATTAAAAAAAATAAATAATCATAATTTTGAAACAATTTCAAGTTGGCTATGTATAGTCAGTATTTATTATTATTTTAACAATTTCAAAATGCCATTAAAATATAAATTATAATTTAATATTGTCTATACTCTTTTTATTTTTATAAGTAGATACCTAAATTTTATATAAAGTTACTATTTACTGTCAACATTTTAAGTACAATACTCAACATTACACACACTAAGGATTTAAAACCAAAAATTGACTATGATAGTATTCACATTTTAAATATTATTAATCTAGAATTTAAATTGAGAATAGAATATTTTTTTGATTTATAGTAATTTAAATCTGTACGTTAAGAATTAAAAATATTTTATAAAAGTTTTCACATCAGGCTAATCACTCTCACTTAAATAATCTAATCAAAAAACTCTAGAAAACCCTCCAAGATTATTTCAGCGAACTTATGTTATGATATATTAAAGTACTGAACTAAAGAATTATAAAAAATGTAAAACTTAAGTTGCGTACATTTATTTATAATATATATTAAATAAAATAATTTGTTTACATTACAGTTGTGATAATTTTAATCAGTGGATGACTTATTTTTCAAAATAGTTTATATTTATATTTTTTTTTGTAATTATAGTACTTATATGTCTAATAATTGTGCCTTAAGGTACAAATGGTAATTTTTTTTAAAATAAAAATGAAAATCATAATTTTACAAAAATAAAAACAAACTAATTATTCTTAAATATTTTTAATTAATAATTTATATAAACATAAATAAATATAAATTAAAGTATATTATATATTATTACTTATTGTTTTATATGATTGAACACTATAAATCGTGTGTTTTTATTTTTTTTGTATAACCATCAAAATAGTATAAAAAAAACAATTTTAAGGAAAAACTTATGTCTATTTAGAAGTATAATATTATTATGTAATGTAGTTACCCTATTATATTTTACTTATTAATAATAATGTATAATTATATTTTGAGGATATTTATGTATATTTTTTAGTATTAACTGCATTACTATTATTATTATATATGTATTCTAAGATCCTAATTTATATCTATAATAATTTTACATAAATTGAAGTTTGAACATAAAGTCATGCTCTTTTCATAGTTTTAAATTTATCTGGAAGCTACCAAAAATTATACATAAGTATTGTTTTAATTGAATCATATTTAAAATTATAATATTACGTACAAGTTTTCGGTTTAAAATTACTTCTTCAAAATGTAAGCTTTTATAAGAAATAGGTAATGCTTCATTGTAAGACCTAAAATATTTTTATTTGGTTTAAGGTATACGACGTCAATGCAAAATACTTGAAAACTAAAGATTAATGAATTTGAATTTTCTATTGTTTGCTACCATATTCAATTGAGTAGTTAGGGCTCAGAAGCTTTGGGCGTCAAATGTTGAGTCCCAAATAAGAATGCTAGTACTTAACGTTAAGAGTATCTAATACTTATGAATAATGATGATATGTATTTTTACTAAACATTACGTTTGTCATTTTATAATTTAATATGTAATAATAAAATTTTTACGGAAATAAAATAAAATATGTAAAATGAGCGTTAAGAGTAAAATTTCGGTTGCTTATTAAATACGTCTCAAAAATAACTATTTGAATTCAACTAATTCGAATTACGGTTTGTGACTCGATTGATATTTATTGTTTTGAGATGTACCTAATATATCGTCTTATATATTAGGTGTGTCCGTAGAAAAAAGTAAGATAGAGTGATAGATAGCTAGTAAATAAAATTGTTATACCTATATCTATTTTTTATGATGTGTATATTTTATTATCACAAAATATCTCAATACGATACAGTATAATCGCCAGTATTGATGATCAACTATTTTATTTTACATAATCAATGGAAACCATACATAGTTATAAAAGATACAAAAATATATTAGATTTCCTTTTGCAAAAATAATACCTGTGGTAAGTTCTATCTTTAAAATTCGAATTTATGAAAGAAAATTACGACAAAAATTTAAAATAAAAATTGCAAAAAAATATACTTAACTTACCTATAGCAATAATGCTATGTATAGTCCGTATACAAATGAAAAAGAAAATTATCTCATTGATATATAATATTCATGTTTATATTTTATATTTTTTAATATTGTATATCCAAAAAAAAACATAATTATGTATCTAGTATCAACGCTAAATAATCTGGGCCGCAATAAATAAGCATATACCTACGAGTAGGTACCCTAAAAACTGCTTGGCTACAATTTTCAAGAAATTATTTACTACGGATGGCAATTTTAATTGTCACCCAAAATTTTTAAGGTGTTCATTTTTATAAACAAATTTATAATTTGGAGGTTTTAAATTAAAAAAATCATTGTGAAGTTATTTATGCCATCTTGGGAGATTACATAAACTAGCAGCTTATAATCATATCTATGTTGTTAAAATATGTTAGAGGAAAAAGAGAATTGTTTCATTGTGTATCTAGACTGCTATATTTTTTAATACACTATTTACTATATTATGTTATGCAAAAAAAAAAATAATTATTTAACATTGTAAAGATCATGAATCTGGATCGTTTTTTAACTAGCGCAGATACTAAAGTTATTACACATATTATATTATGTACATCTATACATTAATATTCTCTATTTCTCTATTCCATTATTCAACATTTAAATTTTAAATATTGTAAAAAATAAACGAAAAGATAAATATTTGATTTTTCTTGGAGAATTCTAATGATTTCACCTTAGGTAGAAACTTTGGCCTAATTTAATTTTAAAACTATATTCATATAGATGAGTTGACATTAAATATAATTTAAATTTTAGGTTACTCTCTTCAAGTAATTTTAACAAAATGTAAGTGAATTCGATAATCTTTAGATCCTGGACACTGATGTAAGATCCTACGCCGAGATACAAGATCAAGTTGAAATATAGGTAAAATTATGAGAAATGAACAATTGACATTTTAAATTTAATACAAGTATTCTTTAAATTGATATTGTTTGTGTATACTTATATTAATTAACATTAAAAATTAGCACTAAATACTTAAAATTATTTAAATTAAATTAATACTAATACCTATAGTTTTTAATTTATTTAATGTGCACGAAAATTGCTGTTTTGACTTGTATAATTTATCACAGCGTAGTAAACATTTTTTATTATTAGTTATTTATGGACAAAAAATACATGAAAAATGTACTTATACTTTGTCTGTGATTACTAAAATGTATTAATTATTGGTAAATATTGATAACTTACAATATATTAAGTATTTTTTATTGCGATTTAAAAATTTAAAATAATTAGGACTTAAGATTCTTACCAAATATATTTTATAAAAAAATATTTTACTAGATATTTTAAATGTTCAACTTTTTTTTTAGTAATCAAATAGATATTTTATTTTAATTTCTAACGTATAAGATTCATACATGATAAATATTGAATATTTTAATATTGATGATGACATTTTAAAATCTAACTCATCTTAATACGAAGATTATAGATATATTCGTTTTTATAAATAATAATTGATATGCTTGTCTAAAATTCAACTTATTTTTAGTACATTTTAATAGTTCTGCTTAAATATTTAAAACGTTAAATGTAATTTTTAAACATGCACATGCCAATTATTTATTATACTTAATCAAAAAGTGAATGATACTAATTGTAACTAAAAGCTTTGGTAATAGGTATAAATGCTGTCTCCGATGTGTAATATAAAAGATGAAAATTTATTTTGGTAAAAAAGAAACACTAGACTACAACCAAAAAGCTTTTACGAATTATTCCAATGGCTTTTCAATACTTCTTTGAAAATATGAAGTAAGAAAGAAAAATGTGTATAAAAAAGGGAATAAAAGATGAACAATTTCAAACCCTTCATCACAATCGGAGTGCCATTAGTGTGATATTCCTACAATTGAATAAAACCATTCAGACATCATCTGCCACCAACATTATGTAATTTTAAGTTAAGGATGCATTTGAAATGTTTTCAAGAATT